GGGGGAGAGAAGAAAGAGAGAGAGAGAGGGGGGGAGAGAGAGAAGAAAGAGAGAGAGAGAAAAGAGAGAGAGACACAGAGAGAGAGAGAGAGAGAGAGAAGATCTGGAAAAAAATGTTAACTAACCAGTTGTTCAGGCTACTTATGATCGTTTGCGTTGGTGGTCCTGGATTGTTGTTTTTTCTTCGATTTTTCCTGACAAACTTATTTCCAGCCCTTTTTCTGTACACATGCCCCATGGCTTTCTTTATTGTCTCAATGAATTATCTTGTCATGTTTGCCATTGTAGAATTTCATGGTTTGTCTTCTTTTCTGTCCATGATGTTTTCAGCATTCTCCGTATGAACCACATTCCTGCTGCTTTCAATATTGTTTCAATACAGTTGTTGATTGTTCTGTTCCTATATGAAGGAACTGACCTGCAACACACCTTTAATGTTCTGTCTTTATACATGTATAATCTTTGAAAATTTATGCTGTTTTTTTCTGTTTGTTTGTTGAGTTGTGTTTTTAAGGGGGAGGGGGGGGTTATGGACACACTTCTTTTGGTATGCAACTGACTTATAGGAATCTCTTTTTTGTGTGTTTTTTTGTCTCTCCAGCATCATACGGCGATATGAACATCACAAAGGTTCGACCACCAAATGATATTTGAACCTAAGAAGGTGAAGGAGAAGCATTACAAGAAAGATGGGCAAGTACCGCTTCGTTTTCTTTTTGTAAAACCTTTATGCACTGTTTTCTCCCCTACAGTTTTACTGCCGTTTATTTTCCCAGTTGTTTCCCTTCACATTCGTTGTCGCAACGTCATTATTCATAGAACGTGCAATGTACGCGAGAAGTTTTGTTTGAACGGGTACATGTAGATTTCTAACCCACCCCCTCCCCAATTCTCTTTTAAAAGGGGGGGGGGGGGGTTCGCCGTCAGAAAAGAAACCCTGGTAATCTTGTTTTTCAAAAAGATATACTGATTATGCGAAACAAAGGTAGCTCTTTGTGAAATCTTTTTACAAAAATGAAACTAGTTTTTAAACCACTCACGCCCATGTGGCTGCATGGCTTCATTCTATGATTTCAGAGTCTGTTCCACAGCCTAGCACAGGACCAGACCGTGGTGACCCCCCGGGGCGGTGCTACAGACTGAAGTGTCTTTAGGCCTTTCCCAAAGTGGGAGTCATTAACATCTCGAGTTCTTCTGCGCAGTAGAATTGTAATGGTAAATGGGCTGATTCATCAATTTCACGCTCATAACAGTGCCTGAACTGCTGCTTTTTCTTTCTTAATCCTTACTATTATCATTTTCCTCTACTTCTTTTGAATGTTTGTCACACTTTTGTGACCCACTCTTTCCGGGGTGCCTTGATAGTCGAAGCAGACTTTGTGCTGTTGAAGCTAGAGAGGTGAGCACAGTAAGTCTGATTCCCTGTAAGGACTTCTCTGTTGATATTCACCCTTTGGCGCTCATATGACCTTATGCAGCTGCGAGCGCCCTAAAAACCTCTACTAAAACAACAGACTGCGGTGATTAAAACACTCACAGCGATGGAATTTGACGCCAACCTCATACCCAGTGCACACTGCCAATCGAATTCGTCGTACTGAGTCGGAACCGATCAGATTGTCCTCAGTGAAGGGGCAGAAGCTTCCATTTTGACACAATTCGATATCTGAAAAGCAGACAGCTCATCGAGAATTATTCTGATAAAAATGAAATTAGTTTTCAAGCAACCCACTCTGTAAAGTTTTTTATAAAGTAAAAGATAAAGACAATCGAATTTAGTTTGAATTCGGACAAATTGCTCTTCCTTGATATACGTAGCAGCTGTTGAAAAGTAGCATAATACGAGTTTTTTGTCTGACGTTCCGATTCCCATTTCATGAAGGGGGGGGGG